CGCTCCGCGCTGCCGCGGCTGCTCTGACCGCTCCCGCTGTTGCGCTCCGAGCAGGCGCCTGAAGAACGAGCTGCTGGAGATCCGGCGCAAGGGGGCCAAGCGGGGCAGCCAGCGGTACAGCGAGCGGACCTGTGCCCGCTGCCAGCAGAGCCTGGGCCGCGTCAGCCCCAAGGGCAACACCTGCCGGGGCTGCAACCACTTGGTGTGCCGGGACTGCCGCTCCTACAGCCCCAACGGCTCCTGGCGCTGCAAAGTCTGCACCAAGGAGGCGTGAGTACCCGGGGCAAACGGCAGGGACCCCCTGTCCCCTTCCTCCTCCCTGTTACCACAGCTTGATGCCCCATGGCCAACCTCTCCTGGCTCCAATGCAAAGCAGCTGGCACTGTTGTTACCTCCCTCAGTGGGCACCCATGGTTGGGGGATGGAGAAGTGGGTTGTGCCCCACTCATCGGTCTCATTCATGCTCACCCCAATCCTTCCCTAACTTCACTCCAGCATATCCCCATGTTCCTTGCACAGCCTGTATCTCAAGCACCCCAGGTTTCTTCCCTCTCAGCCCCCCCTGTCCTACAAATGCCTCCCCATCTTGTTTGCTGGGAACACAGCTGTGCCTGTCATCTGCCCAGTGCATCATCTCTGCCCAGCCACCTCCCAAACATGCTTATGGTGCCTGTGCTCAACGTGGCAGCATCAAGAGTGGCAGTGGAGCACAGGGAGCAGGTTCCCTCTGCTCCTGACTGCCCCATATTGCCTCCCTGCCCTGCAGTGAGCTGAAGAAGACAACAGGTGACTGGTTCTATGACCAGAGGGTGAACCGCTTTGCCAACCGGCTGGGCAGTGACATGGTGCTGCTGTCCCTGCGGCACAGGACAGCAGGTAGGGCTGCCACAGCCATGCCATCTATCACAGCCTGGCCCTCCAGGATGCTCTGGCTTTCCGTAGTGCACCTCTATCCATTGTGGAGTTAGCCAGGAGAAGCTTCTGCTCCAGGCAATGTGCATGGAGCAGTGGTCCTCCTGATGCCTTTCTCCTTCCAGCCAGCAAAAGAGAGACTGTGGGACAAACCCTCCTCCAGAAAGCCCAGCTTAGAGAACCCAAAATCTCCTCCACAGCCCAGCGGCAGAGCCCCCCAGCATCCCGAGAGGAGCCAAGGTGAGGATCCCTGCCATCTCCCCCACGCTGGGCACCAGTCTGCCTCTTCTGTGGGGATGGAAGGAACACTGCCACCCTGTTTGTATCACTGGTGATGCAGAAGCTCTCTCTCAGACCAGCCTCCTCACCAAACAGGATGTACTTGTGGTTTTGTTTGTCTGCAGTTTGTTTCTGGATGCTTCAGAACCTCGGGATGGCAAAAGCGACACAGAGTCTATGGAAAATATGAGCCTGGATGGCTACAGATCTAGTCCTGGTGGTGTAAGGGGCAGGTGAGGGGTTTCTTTGGGTTCACACTGGGCAGATTGTGCATAGCCAGGTTGTGCACAGCCAGGTTGGCCTGGCAGAGGACGAAGACCTTCTGAATCATGTTTTTCTCTGTTCTAAGTTCTTGGTCTAGTGAGGGGCAGCTGGCTCCTCTTGCTGTGCTGAAACCTGGCCCCGGGCAGGCTGAGGTGCTCTGAGGAGCTTGTGAGGAGACAGTGCTTCCCCACCAGCATTTCCTATTGTCTTGGGACACACCTTTTTGTGTCCTCTGCAGGAGTAACTCCCTGGAGAGAGCCACCCCTCTCAAAGATGGAAAGGAGGTTGCTGCACCGGCAGGACCCGCTGCCTCCAGCCTCACCCTCCCTCTCCGCTCCAAAAACACGTTCTCTGATGGACGGGTGGGTGCTGCTGCTTCTCTGGTGGGCTCAGCCCTGTCCTGGGGTGTGGGGACTGGGAGCCCTGTGGGGTGTCCACTCTGCCCTGCCCTGAAGGGACCCTTCTTCCCCAGGATGCCACCATGGGGAGCCACGGCAGCGCCTTGGTCGATGAGCATGAAATGATATTCAAGAAGAATCCCCGGCGGGTGGTGAGGCCGGCGGGTGAGAGCTGCATGGGTGCAGGGGGTTTGGGTGCCAACCTGGCAGTGTGGATGGGAGAGGCTGGAGCAGCCCTTCTCAGGGCAGGAGCAGCAGGGCTCTGCTAGTCCTGCACCATGCCACTGTCTCTTGTTCAGACTACACCAAGTCGGTGATTGACCTGCGCCCAGGGGACTTTGTGGGGGAAGGCAGTTCCTTGGGGGACAGGAGCAAGTCAGTCCCTGGCCTCAACACAGAGCTGGTGAGACCCTCAGTGTCCTGCAGAGCTGGCTGCCAGGTGGAGGAGCAGCTGCCTGGCTGGCCGTGTCCTGCTGCTCCCTGCTCAGGCGGTTAGTCTTTCTCCTTGCAGGAGGAGGAGGAGGAGGACATTGATAACCTGGTGGAGATCCACCGGCAGCGGGTGGCCCGGGGCAGCATGCGCAGCGGCACCTCCTCGGTGAGTCCCCACAGCACAGCCGTGCTCTGCTCCGCTGGGAGAAATTATGGAGAAAGGCAGCACTGAGGGGTTGCCTGGGAGGGAGGTGTGGTGGGCAGCTCCTGGGGTATGGAGGGCAAGAGCTTGGGGCACTGCAGCTTCCTCCCTGTGAAGGGAATGGGCAGCACCGAGGGGTTGCCTGGGAGGGAGGTGAGGTGGGCAGCTCCTGAGGTATGGAGGGCAAGAGCTTGGGCACTGCAGCTTCCTCCCTGTGAAGGGAATAAAAAAGCAGAGACCCAGCTCTCTTCCAGGGAGCCTGCATGGATGTTGGAGGCACTGGGTGGCCATTCCCAGCCCCAGAGAAGTGAGGGTGGGGAGGTGGAGGAGGTGTGGGGGGTATAGCCATGCTGAGGATGAGGAGGGACCCACCACTGATTACGCCCCATGTCAACCCTGCCGTGTCTTCCAGAGCACTCTGGGGAGCATGGTCAGCATTTACAGTGAGGCCGGTGACTTTGGAAACGTTGCAGTCACTGGGGGAAT